AGGCAGCTAGAATGGAAAAGAGATCACTATGTCAATGATGGTTGTAGGGATTGTTCGTTCATGATGGGAGATATGTGCTAAAATTAAATAAAGGACCAAATGTAATAAACTCTCAGTATCTATATTGCAAATCATAATGTCCAAAAGTAGAGAGAGAGTGTCGGGGAAATTGTCTGCCATAGAGGTCACTTGATCACTTGACTTCCCGTTAATCATTGATTTGCTCGAGCGGGCGCCAGTAACATCTCCATTTGTCCCTGTCGCGTGCTAGTGTAGCCCAATGGCGTCTGTTCGCTCTAGGAACATGAAGAGCCTCAAACCAATCGTTCATGATCTTGATGAAGAAGTCTGACCATCTGGTAGATGGGCGGCCACGAGGTCTTTCGACATCCCGTGGAATCCAGTCGGTAACAGCTCTAGTCCAGCGGTCGTTTTTAAATCTCATTACATGACCAGCCCATCTGATTTTTGACACCTTGACAAATGAGACAGTGTCCCTGATTCTTGATCGTGGATGGATGTCGGAACTCTGGACTCTTTCTCTCATTTGAGTGAAACATGATATTCCAAGTATAGCTCTTTCAATTCCTCTTTGGGAAACCCGAATAGTGTTCTCATCCTGTTTGCATAGGGCCCAGGTCTCTGAGGCGTATGTTAATGCATGAAGAACAGTGGAATCAAAGATATGTGCCCAGAGCTGGAGGTTCTTCGTCCTCTTAGCTATTTCTTCGATGTTCTTGAAGGTGTTCCAAGCTGCTTTCTTCCTCCTGCGCAGCTCGGGTGCCAGGTCATTTGTCATGTTGACTTCTTGACCTAGGTACACATAGCTGTTGCATTCGGAGATGGTTGTTCCGTTGAGAGCAAATGGGGCGTCAGGAACGAGGCTGTTTCTCATAAACATTGTCTTCGTAAGATTCAGCTGTAGACCGACCTTTCCACACTCACGGTCGAAGTCGGCCAGCATTTGTGCCACTTGGCTGATGTTTGGTGTTATTAAAACAATGTCATCAGCAAAGCGGAGGTGGTGTAGTTGCCGACCATCTATTTTCACTCCCATTCCTTCCCATTCTAGTTGTCACATGATGTTCTTGAGGGTGGCACTGAAGAGTTTCGGTGAAATGGTATCACCCTGCCAAACCCCTCTCTTGACATCGATAATTACTTCTTTGTAGAATGATGAGATCCTGGTAGTGAATCCACAATACAGCTCACGGAGGATCTTGATGTATTGAGCTTGAATGCCCTGATTGGCTACGGCTTCAATGACCGCTTCTGTCTCAACAGAATCAAAGGCCTTCTTTAAATCAATGAACGTTAAACAGAGCGGCATCTTGAACTCCCGAGAAACCTCAATGAGCTTGGTTATTGTGTGGATATGGTCGATGGTGCTGAATCCTTTGTGGAACCCGGCTTGCTCGCATGGTTGTCCTTCATCTAGTGTTCTGCCAATCCTGTTCAGGATGACTCGAGTGAACAACTTGTAGATGACAGACAATAGGCAGATCGGGCAATAGTTGCCAATGTCATGGATGTCTCCCTTCTTGCCCCACCCTACCCTGCCCTGTCTGCTTCCACCAACTACCAGAGACCCAGGGATTGGATTGCGCACAGAAGACCCACCCTACCCCTACTGGGACCAGATAAAAAACCCACTGGAAGACCTCCACTACCCAGCCGCCACCACACTCCAGGACACTTTCCGTACCCACGTGGCAGCTCCGGCCAAGACTCATGCACGACTGAAGACCCGCAGAACAAGATAAGGGGAATTCTCTGAGACCTTGGGCTCAAGGCTCAACGGACCCAGGAACAGAGATTCTCTGCTTGCTCCCACCAACCACAGGTGACAAAGGGATTATAATCAGGAGTCCCACCCTACCCTGCCCTGCCCTGTCTGCTTCCACCAACCACCAGAGGCCCAGGGATCGGATTGCGCACAGAAGACCCACCCTACCCCTACCGGGATCAGATAAATACCCCACTGGCAGACCTCCACTACCGACACTACCTCCACTACCCAGCCGCTGCCACACTCCAGGACGCTTTCCGCACGACACATCATAAGACACTAAAAACCCATCTTCCGGAATTGCCCTACCATATTTGATAGGGTTCAAATATGGTAACACCTACGAGGCTGATTAGAGGTCGCCTCAAAAGCCTCTATTCCTCTCAGAAAGACTGGCAAGCTACCGAGAGTATTCTGCCTGCATGGAAGAGCCTGGCAAGCTATCCGTTGTGTATTCGATATGCCAAAACCAGTAATTACAATGGGTCTCATTCACCTGACCCTGAAGGCTTCACCAACATGGCAGCACTGAGAAGGATGAGAAAGGAGAGGCCAATAAAATCTCAAGGCCGAACTAGGCTGCCACAACGAAGGAAGATAAAAATGATCATCTGTACTTTCAATGCACATATGCTAGCATCAGATGCATCCATTGAGGACCTGATGGTACAAGCGCGAAAGATCAAGTACGACATCATTGGCCTGACCGAGACAAGAAGGCTCCAATCTCATCATGCCGTTTTCGATACTTAAGAAGAATTGTTCCTCGGAACATGTGATAAAAGAGGTGTCGGAGGCATCAGTGTCCTTGTCAACACAAACTTGGCCATGAGCGTTGATTCATTCGAATGCCAAACAACCCGAATCAGACGTTTACATTTGAATAGATGTGGCTCACTGCCTGCAGTTTCTATCTCCGTTGTCTATGCACCAACATCTAATTATGATAAAGGAGAAATTGAGAAGTTCTACATGGAGCTGGAGAAGTTCTATAAAGAAGACCACACCTTCTACAAGATCATTGTGGGTGATTTTAATGCCAAGATAGAACCTAGAAGATCAGCTGAAGAGCTTCACATTGGAACCCATGGCCTAGAATGGAACCAACAGGGTGAGAGACTGTCTGAGTTCATCATGTCGACCAAGACCATCCATGGTAACTCACAGTTCCAGAAGGCTGAATCTAAACATTGGACATGGGAGTCTCCTGGTGGACGATTCCACAACGAAATAGACCACATCATATTCAATCGACAGTTTTGCCTGACCGATGTCCCTGTTGTCCCAAAATTCCAAACGGGATCGGAGCACCATCTCCTTCGTGCAAAATTCTACTTAACAGAGCAGGGAGAAAGGGTCGCAAAGTTTAAGAAGAGAACTCCTAGAACGGCCACCAATGGGAGCTCTTTGGCACTATTGCGGCATCATGGGAAGATGCCATTGTTGACAACATTGACGAGGAATACGATCGACTAGTTCAGCACCTCCATGATTGTGCGAGGAACGCCAAGAGAGAGATAGCCACAAAAAAATGCCTGTCTTCAAAAACTCTTGAGCTTATTCGCCAACGTGGTTTGGCACATGCCTCAGTCAACCACAAGCGAATTTCCGAGCTCGCAAAGCAGTGCAGAGATGCGATCAAGGAAGACCTCAATGATAGAAGAGCAGAACTGCTGGTAGATGTGGCAGAAGCTGGGAAAAGTATTCGTAATGCCCGCCTGTTGTTCGCCAACTGCAAGACCAAGATGACTGCCCTCCGACGTCCTGATGGATCTATCACATCCTCCAGTACGGCAATGGAGAAGATTATCCATGACTTCTACTCAAATCTCTTCGATAGCCATGTCCACTTGCCGACATACCAAATTCCACAGGATGAATATGTCATTCCCAATGTTTTCCCTTTCGAAATCTGACAGGCCATTTCGTCAGTAAAGAAATGAACAGCACCCGGCCCAGACAAGGTCAGACCTGAACACCTGAAGAACCTGCCGTCAGTACTCATCAATACGCTGGCTCGGCTCTTCACACGCTACCTGTCTGAATGCAAGATTCCATCCCAATGGAAACCAGCAGGACTGTACTACTGCATGGGGTGGGATGAGGATGTACTACTGCATAGAGGCATGGGGAGAATTGGGATAGGGGTGATACTGGGGATATTGGTGGTGGAAAATGTGCACTAGTGTAGAGATAGGTGTTCGATCATTGTATGACTGAAACTCAAACATGAAAGCTCTGTAACTGTATATCACAGCGATTCAATACAAGTAAAAAAAAATAAAGTATATAACTGGTGCATAACTCTGAATTATGTGCAAATGAATAATAAAAGGGGATTTGTGTCACCAGAGTCCTGTAGTTTCTATAGAAACAGATTCTAGCTGTCTTGAGCTCTGGCCCAGGGCTCAAAGTTGCTGTTTTTTGATATGGTATCTCAGTTGATGTGGCATCGCAGTGATACAAAATGGCATCACAGTTGTAACTGATTTAGGCAATGCCCGGAGACCGTGGTCACATATATCCAATAATAGCTGTTTAGCAAACTGATCTTCATAGCTACCATGGAGTTTTACATCTGCTATTACTAGTTTGGAAACGAGATGGGTGCTATGATTTTGGCTTGTTTGGATAGAGCTTACCTCTAGAGTGTCTGCTACCTATTGCAGTCTGTGTGTTGGCAGCTCCCAACTGCAGTCTTAGGAATGAATGGTTGCCCTCAACTGTATGTTGGGGTTAACTGTGCCCACCCTATATGTGCTGTGTAGTTCCAGTTTGCAGTTTCTTTCTGATATGCTGTTACATGCAGGCATAAGTCTAGAACTCTATGGACCCTTTGAATTCAGTGTGTTCCATCTTTGGTTGGAGATTAAGTCCAGTGCACCTGAGTCAGTTTTAAACTCAGTAGATTATGGTATAGAACATAAATCAATTTATAAATCTATAAATCAGTTTTGATCAGCACCCTCCTACCTTAGCATTTTATTTCTGGTACCAGCGTGCTGGTCCCTTTTGTTGAGATTTTGTTTCTTTTCTCTTAACACCAGGGGAAGCTCTAAGTTAACTGAACATAGTAACTATGCCCTTTGTAAATATTTATTCTTAAATAGAATCACTGGCTTCAGAAAATAAAAAAATTCTACCCAGATAATGTATCGACCTATTAACCATACTATAATTTGGACATTTAAGTGGTATGAAAATATATTACTTTTTAGTTGTGATAGTAGTCCTTCCACCACTGGAGTGTTGATTATGAGATGAATATATTTCTTGTCTCAATTTCGAGAGTTCCTTAAAGATAAGCATTAGAAAAGATTAGAAGCATGAGAGAATTAGATTTCATAATTTAACAATATTACTAATACATTATTTTGCTTCCTTCCTTCCTTTTTTGTCCTTTATGTGAGAATTTTCTAATCCCACTTATAAAATACCACATATTTTCACTTCATGCTATTTAACAAATTACATTATATGCTTTTTCAGGAATCCACTGTCATAGAATCTCACATTTGCACTATTACATGAGAGTATAACATGACAATGAACATGTCTTTCAGGATAATTATGTGAAAGTTCTTGTTATAAAAAGCTTGGAAATTATAGTTCTAGGAAAGCAGTATGGACACTATAATATTCAAGCAAGTGTTATTTTCTAAGATAAAGTTTATTATTAAATTTCATGAAAAGTTTCATTGTTCAAAATAGTAATACAGTATTAGCCACTGAAAATAGTGAGAAACACTTCCTTGACAACGCTGTTAATCTAGTACAGATCTTACCATCTCACTGGAAGCTTCATTGCTAGTGAGACAAAATCAGTTTCTTAAAATTCACTTAGTGTTTGCTTCAATTTTAACTTTCATTTTGAATTATTTCTTCTGTAATAAGAACATTTTACAAACATGCTATTTCGTGAGTGTAAATTTTGAAAATATGCATTGTTTCTGGATCAAGGGAAGTATTTATCCTACAGAAATAATTTGTATTGCTCTTGCATATCCCTTCCTTTCTTACCTCTGACTGACGCTTTATAAGAGAATCCTTCTCTTCCAACAAGCTTGTCAGTTCATGGAGTTTGAATTGGAAGTCACTGCAACTTCCTTCTCTTCTTGAAATATCTTTTTGGTACTGGTTCAGCTGAGTCTGTATATATAAATGGAAATAATAATTATTATAATTCTCATTTATAACATATAACTGATTTATAATAGTTTTTATGACATTAAGTTAAATGGCAGTTATTGAATAAAGAGTTAAATATCAATAGCTAAAACACCCATAATTTTATTTATTTATTTATTTATTTATTTATTATTTTTGCTTTTTGGGTCACACCTGGCGATGCACAGGGGTTACTCCTGGCTCATACACTCAGGAATTACTCCTGGCAGTGCTCGGGGGACCATATGGGATGCTGGGAATTGAACCTGGATTGGCTGCATGCAAGGCAAATACCCTACCCACTGTGCTATCACTCCAGTCCCACTCATAATTTTATTATGTAAAATGAATTAAAGTGTTAATGATTAATTTCTCAGTTTTTAAAAAGCACCTTTACTATTTTGGTTTAGTTATTTCCTAAGAAAAAATCTTACACCACACTAATTAAAGATAAGAATGCATGTGTTTTCCTTTTCTTTAAATGCTCATTAAGTAAGACTCAATAAGTAATAGCGCTGTAGCACTGTAGCAGTGTCCTCCCGTTGTTCATTGATTTGCTTGAGCGGGCAACAGCACCATCTCACAACAAATTGTGAGACTTGTTGTTACTGTTTTTGTCATATTGAATATGTCATGGGGATCTTTCCAGGCTTTGCCGAGTGGGCAAGATACTCTCGGTAGCTTGCCGGGCTCTCCAAGAGGTGAGAAGGAATTGAACACGGATCAGCCAGGTTGGCCACGTGCAAGGCAAATGCCTTACCCGCTGTGCCATTGCTCCAGCCCAACAATAAGTAATAGTATATCATTGTTTATACTTCACAAAATATTTCTCCAACATGAATAGTTTAAGGCTTCATATCTGCCTTATGAGATAAATATTATTTTCCTCACTTATTTTATTTACTTATTTGGGTTTTGGTCACATCTGACAGCGCCGAGGTCTTACTTCTGGCTTCGTGCTAAGGGATCATCGGTAGTGATGCTTAGGTGAACATTTGCAAATCTGGAGATCAAGCCAGGTTTTGCCTAGTGCAAGGCAAGTGCCTTAACCCCTCTATTATATCTCTGAAACTTGATTATGATTTGTAAAGCAGGTAAATGATATGCAGACACTATTGCAGCACTGACAAGCAACACAGTGGCTACAGGCTAAATCAGTGGAAGAAAAGTGCTAGAAAATCAATAGAATTTTGAGTAAATTATATGCTCTTCTTTGTTTTTTGGTAAACATTGTTTACTGTTATTTGGAGAGAAAAGTATTTGTTAAGTTTGACCCAGTAAATATTTAAGTATATTTTACTGCACATAAGATCCAATAAATTAAGGGTTAGTGAAATTATGGGTTAATTATGGGTTAGTCAATATAAACTTGAATAACAATATATGGCAATACATGGTTGTTCATCCAAATAGCTGTACAATTTTAATACTAATTGTGAGTATGCAATTCAACACTACATTGTGATTGACAAAATACTTACTATGTACCATTCTTCAAAGACTCAGGTAAATTTTTTGAATCAACTCTGTCATGTTTTTTTGTTTGTTTGTTTGTTTTTAGCGAAACACCATGTGGGACAGTTGTTGACCTTACAAGTTTTTGTATTTGGGTTTTGGTCATACAGTGATCGAATACCCATCCCTCCACCAGTGCCCATTCTCCACTACCAATGGTCCCAGTAACCCTCCCACCCCTCCCATACCCCCATCCCATCCCGCCTCTGTGGCATGGCATTCCCTTTTGTCCTTTCGCTTGGTTTGGATGCTAAGGTTTGCAAGAGAGGCATTGAGTGGCAAACATGTTCGTTCTACAGTCTACTTTCAGCATGCATCTCCCACCCTGGGAGAATCCTCCCAACACCCTTTGCTTGCTGTTCCCTTCTCCGTTTGAACTGCCCTTTCCCATAGCATGTGCGGTTGGCCTTCAAGCCACAGACTCAACCTTCTGTAACTTATCTTGACAATTCTAGGATGTTGATCTCCTATTTTGTTATTTTATATTCCCCAGATGAATGCAATACTTCTATGTCTGTCCCTCTCTTTCTGACTCATTTCAGTTAACAAGATACTTTCCATGTAGTACCATTTGCATGTAAATTTCATGACTTAGTCTTTTCTAACAGCAGCATAGTACTCCATTTTATAGATGTACCAAAGTTTCTTTAACCAGTCATCTGTTCTCGGGAACTCGGAGTTTTTCCAAATTTTGGCTATTGTGAACTGTGCAGCAATGAGCATAGAAGTGCAGATGTCACTTCAGCTATACTTTTTTACCTCTCCAGGATATATTCCCAGGAGTGGTATTGCTGGATCAAATGGGAGCTCAATTTCTAATTTTTTGAGAATTGTCCATACTGTTTTCAAAGAGGGCTGGACCAGTCGGCATTCCCACCAGCAGTGAAGAAGAGTCCCTTTCTCACCACATCTGCGCCAACATCGGTTGCCCCTGTTCTTTTGGATGTGGGCCAGTCTCTGTGGTGTGAGGTGATATCTCATTGTTGTTTTGATCTGCATCTCCCTGATGATTAGCGATGTAGAGTATTTTTTCCTGTGCCTTTTATCCATTCAGATTTCTTCTTTAAGAATGTTTCTATTCATTTCATTCATTACCCCATTTTTGATGGGGTTGGATGTTTTCTTTTTGTGGAGTTCAACCAGAGCTTTGTATATCCTTGATATCAACCCCTTATCCAATGGGTATTGGGTGAATATTCTTTCCCATTCTGTAGATTGTCTTTGTATTCTGGTAACTATATCTTTTGAGGTGCAGAAGCTTCTTAATTTAAGATAGTCCCATTTGTTTATCTCTGTTTCCACTTGGTTGGTCAATGGAGTGTCATCTTTGAAGATACGACAAACCCCTGGCAAGCATTATCCTCAATGGAGAAAATCTAAGGGCCTTTTCTATAAGATCAGGAACAATACAAGGATGCCCACTATCACCACTTCTGTTCAATATAGTACTGGAAGTACTTGCAATAGCGATTAGGCAAGGAAAAGACATTAAAGGCATCCAGATAGGAAAGGAAGAAATCAAGCTCTCACTATTTGCAGATGATATGTTACTATATCTCGAGAACCCCAAATCCTCTACCAAGAAACTCCTAAAAACAGTAGACTTGTACAGTAAAGTTGCAGGCTATAAAATCAATGCCCAAAAATCCATGGCCTTCCTATACCCAAATAATGAGACAGGACAGTGACATGAAAAAATTTATCCCGTTCACAGTCATGCCACAGAAAATCAAATACCTCGGAATCAGTATAACTAAAGAGGTAAAGGACCTCTACAATAAAAACTACAAAACGCTATTCCATGAAGTAAAAGAGGACACGAGGAAATGGAAACATATCCCCTGCTCATGGATAGGAAGAATTAACATTGTCAAAATGGCAATACTCCCCAAAGCATTATACAGATTTAATGTGATCCCTATAAGGATACCCATGAAATTTTTCAAAGAAATAGATCAAGCACTCCTGAAATTCATATGGTACAACAAACGCCCATGAATAGCCAAAGCAATTATTGGGAAAAAGACATGGGGAGTGATTACACTCCCCAACCTCAAACTCTACTACAAAGTGGTAATAATTAAAACAGCATGGTGCTGGAACAAAGACAGATCCGTAGGCCAATGGAACAGGGTGGAATATCCCTACACACAACCCCAAATGTATGAACATCTAGTCTTTGATAAAGGAGCAAGAAAAGTGAAGTGGAGCAAGGAAAGCCTCTTCAACAATGCTGGCGTAACGGACAACCACATGCATAAAAATGGGCTTAGACCTCAAACTAACACCATGCACAAAAGTCAGATCAAAATGGATTAAAGATCTCAACATCAGGCCAAAATCCATAAGATACTCGAAGACAAGGTCGTCAAAACCCTCCAGGATATTGAGTCTAATGGTATCAACTCTGGTTTTGTTTCAGAATCTAAAGTGTGTCTCTTGCCTTCATAGGCAGGAATTAGTAAACATAAATAATTCCTCTCACAACTAAAAATGAATCAAAGTTGAAAATAAAACAGACATTAATATCTTCATATTCTATACTACAATATAATCTAGAATATACTATATTATACTAAATTAGAAAATAACTTTGGAATATTCTATATACTGAAACAAATTTAAGCAAAAGCTCTATTTCATATTAATAAACTATACCTTTAGGTGATTTTTCCTTGGACTTTAAATTTGAAACCATTATTTTTATTTAAAATGTTTGTGTTGGATGGGGGGTGGGAGGGATACTGAGATCAGTGGTGGTGGAGAATGGGCACTGGTGGAGGGATGGGTATTTGATCATTGTATAACTGAAACCCAAGCACAAAAATTTGTAAATCTACAACTGTACCTCATAGTGTTTCACTAATAAAAAATCTAAAAAAATATATTAAATAAAAAGTTTGTGTTAACATGATAACCTCTAAACATCTGTATTGCAAACCATAATGCCCAAAAAGAGAGAGGGAGAAGGAAAGAAGGAAAGTGCCTGCCATAGAGCATACAGACAGGCTGAGTAGGGGTTAGAGTGTGGGATGAGGGAAGCATGGGACATTGGTGGTTGGAAATGTTCAAATGTGGGGATTGCCACTGGAACATTGTATGACTGAAACCTGATCATGAACAACCTTGTAACTTGTGTATCTCACAGCGAATCAATAAAAAAAAGCTTGCATTGACTGGTATATTTATATAATTAACATACCCTTAGCTTGCAGATCTCTCTCTCTTTCTCCATTCTTAAACTTTTTACCATTTCCATGTAGTGGTTCCCAATGTCATCCATTTTAGCCTGCAACATCGGACCTGTGCAAGTCTCAGAAATCTACATGAAACAAAATAATTTTCTGTTATTAAATTGTTATCAATAGATATCACATGACAAGACTTGCTGTTTTCTGAAAACCACATTATCAAAAGGGGTGCTGCAGTGATTAGAGTAATTTTTATAATTATACAATTCAAAGAGCAGTGAGAGAAGGCCTGAAATGGAAGTGAGATGTGAAAGGAGTCCATAAATATAAGTAAATATCTCTTGCCAAAAATAGGCTAACGATGATATAACTAGAGTTAAAACATTTATTTAAAACAAAATTTTAATACCTGTATTCTAAGATTTTTATTCTCTTTCTCCAAATTACATTTACAGTATTCCAGTTCTTTTAGTCTGTATTCCATGTCTGATAATGTATGTCTAAGAGAGAGATTGTTTTCTTCCAACATCTGGCATTTTGAAGTCAAATCTTGAAGTCCTTTCTATAAAGAAGAAAAATAAGTTAGATAATTGGATTCTAATTTGGGGGGAAGATGGCTTTTTCTAGTTGATTCATCCAGTGAAATAAAGCAATTATATTTTCAATGCAATTTTTGTTTACCTTAAATACAAAATAAAATTCATTTTGCAAGATAATATCCTTACCCATAGTATTGCTTGCTATTCCAAGAGGGAAACAATCAAGACTAATGAAATTTTATTTAACAATTACACGACCTAATTCTTTGACACTTTGAAATATTGTCTTGTATTCTGTCAATTAATAGGCTTCAAAATGATTATATGACAACTGGAAATTGGGCGACTATTGGGACCATTATTTGAGGAAATATTAGAGAAGAATAAGACTTCGTTATTTCTTATGAATCTCTGCTCAGACATCTGGAGAACACTTCAAGATTTTATTAATTTATTTTTATTGTACAAATGTTTTAATATCTAAAACAATATTTGCATTGATTCATTAATGATCACTGTCAATTAATGGATTGAGTGAATAAGTTAACATACATCTTAAATTTATGCAATTCTTGTCAAACAAAAGATTTATTTTTTGTTTTCATAAATTTTTGTTTTCATTTTTCAAGAAATGAAAACTTTCTCTCTAGAAAAACCTACAAAATACTATGAAGTATTTATTCCTGTTTGATGTGGACTTCCAATACATGTAACTTATATATAAAATACACAAAGTTATGCTTTGCTTTGAAAGCTTTCAGTCACTGGAGCTACCCACAACCACACAGTTCTAATATGAAGACATTTTTCTATTACATTTTAATAATACTGACTTGTGTCTATATTGTATAACCATAATGTGTTAGTAATTGCAAAGATGAAAATCTACCTATTTTATCATCACTAAAAGCACGCAATTACCTGTTGCTGGCGATTATTTGCTCTCACTGATGCCAAGAGTTCTTCATACTCTTTTATTTGAGCTTCTTTGAATGTCAAGTCTTTTTCAAGTCTTATTTTGTCATTTTCCAGGGACTAGAAGAATTGATTTTTTAAGAATCAAAATTACAGAGACTTTCAACTGTCACACAGTATAAAGACTTGTGTACAATGGAAAGTTTACATAAGTGCTTTTAAATTTTCTGATGTTTAATATGTCACTTCTTAAAAGTTAAGCATAAAATGAGCTGGAAAAATATTACACATTTAAAGTTGTCACCTAAGGAGCCATTCTGATGGACTGACTAATTCTAAGGGCATTGAAGAAAAGCCTTCTGAAGCTGTCTGATGTTCTGGTCCAATATTTAAAGATTTCTTGTTAATCTTAGCATGTGGAGAATTTTCAAATTAGAGACTAAATATGTTATCAGAAATTAGTAAAAACAGTAGCAAACTAAAGTTCCCAGGGAGTTATTCATTGCATGCAAAGAATTCTGAATATATGTAGATTATAGCATCAAGGATGTCAATTAAAATAGAAAATTCAAAAGGTTAAATTCTCTAATATGTTTTTAACTATTCAAAACAATTCAGAATGCTTGTTATTTTTAGAGAAAAAGGAGGAAATTCCTGTTCAATCAGTGAAAATATTCTAATTTATAAGGTTCAATGAACTTTAAACTTGGTTATAGGCATTAAACTACCTTACTGGTAAGATAAACTAAAAAAACTGAATATTAAAAATGCTTTCACTTTTATACTGGATAATTCTTTTATCCTCAACAAACCCCTATGAACTGTTTAAAGAAAATAATTATACCCAGTAAGCATAATATTGGCTTATGTGTTAAATTTTTAAAAAGGTACACTAAATGATTTTATATCTATGTTAGGAAACTAGTAACTAGCAAGGTCTTGGAAAGAAAATTAATAAAAATATGTTACTGTCAAATCATCTTGAAGATGTCCAAGCTCCTCACGTATGTTGCTGAATGTAGACAGAACTAGCCGGAGTGACTTGTCAGACATGCTCCTCATCTGGAGGAAAAAATGGTTTGATGAGTATTTTTTACAGACATAAAAAGTCAATATAAGTAATAGTAAGTCTTATTTTTGTATTCTTTTAAGAAAACTTATTGTTTTATTTTAAATATTGCAATATTGGACTAATAATTTAGGGTTTATTATCAACATACATAAGCAATCCAAACAGTGTTTCATAAGACATCATAGATACTTGAATAGAATAGTCTGTTATTTTTCTGTTATATCATGTTTCTCACAACAGAAATATTTTATGAATAATACAGTTTACTTTTAATCTATTACAACTAGAAGAGAAGAGCATTCAACCTTCAATAATTTTTTTAATAAACAACAAAAAAAGAAAGTATAATGGAGAGATGCAACTTTGTTGTTTGGGTCACACCAGGTGGTGCTCAGGGCTTACTCCTGGGTCTCTACTCAAGAATCACTCATGGTGGGGCTTGGGGGACCATACGAGGTGCTAAGGATCAAACCAAGGTTGTCTGTGTTGAGCATGAGATCATAAGAGAATAAACTATAGGGCCTAAACAGAGGTCTGAGTCAAGTGCTGAACAATTCTGGAGACTTCTTTTTATTTTATTCTTTAATTTTAAGCTCCATTATTAACAATACTATTATTATGGGTACAAAGTTCCAAGCCACACCATCCATTAGAGTGCCCATTTCCTCCAGACCTTTTACATTGTAGATGATATCTTACAATATGGATATCATTTTTTGATCTGGACCATCATATCAACTATATCCCCACCTCAGGGAAAAATCTGAGAGTAATATCATCCACTCTCGGCAAACATTTGAGATAGCTCAGAGCAGAGAAATAAGTTAAGCGACCTTGCTTCTAACTGACCCACATCTCACTTATAGCAAGCTGTTCCTTCATAAACAGAAGTCTGTTGATCTCTCAGAGCAGAGCAGCTCATATGCATATCTCCTTCCTGACCGCAGCCAACCAGTTTATGTACTATCCTCCCCAAAGTGGAATATATATGGCTATAACAACAACCTCATGTAATTTTCAGGAATATGGATGAAAGTAGAGGTTATCATGCTCAGTGAAGTCAGTTAGAGGAAAGGGACAGAGTTACAGAATGATTTCTCTCATATTTGGAACTTTGAGATACATGGCAAGGTAGCAACAAACATCCAAAGGCAACAGGATGAGAGGACTGACACACATAGTTGAATTTTGGGATAAGAGGAAGTGGGGCTGGGTTCCTTTGGGGGAGAAGACAAGTATACTGATGATAAAAATGTGGTGGGGCTATGTTCATGAGAAAGCATTGTTAATTGTATAGTAAACAAAAAATTATGATTAATTTTTCAGATGAAGAAAGCCTAGAAAAGAAAGCTCCATAGAATTTACAGTATCAGTGAAGACCATCTGCTACCATGAACTTTCTTTTAGGGATATTTGGCTATTATTTTGATTTCTGTACTTGAAATATGTATGTTAAATCTTTTTATTTATTTCTGGTTCAGTTTTGGATGGTTGCTAAATTATAAAGATTTGTCCATTTCTTCCATGCTGTCCAACTTGTTTGCATCCAGATGTTTACATTGGTTTCATGACTCTTCGTATTTCTGCATTATTAGCTGTAATTAACTTCTTTCATTTAAAATTTTTTTACCAGAATTTAGATAGAACATCTGAGACTTATTCACTTTGAGTATTTAAAAAATCTATAAAAAAAACTTAGTTTCTTTGATCTTTTTTGGTAATGTTATGTTTGACATTTCATATATCCCCTCTTTGAATTATTTCCTTTCTCCTATTGCCTTTTAGTTACATTAGTTCTTCTTTCTCTGGTTTTACTTGATGTACAGTTCAATATTAAATTTTCAATGTTTATCAATATTAATCTAAATAGATAAATTTTATCAATACTACTTTTGTTGCAATCAATAGGATAAAAGAGCTTGTCTATTTCATTATCCTCAAGATAATTTTTTGTTTCTCTTTTGATCAAATGAACTTTCTACAGACAGCTCACAACAACAAATAACACCTTGGATTTATCCTTGATTAGAGAGATTCTGCAGAAATATGTGCTAACCATACTACTAGCTCCTTTGAAATTTTTATTTAAACATCACAGTTTACAAAGTTGTTCATAATACAATTGTTTTGGGCATTCAGAGCTCCAACAATATTCTCTCTGCCAGTGTGACCTTTCCTCCAGCATTGTCCACAGTTTCCCACTCCCCACCCCAGGCATGCTACATTAGAAAGCACAAAATAATTTATTTTATATTGCTTGTTACAACAAAATCATAAATGGAATTATCAAAAAATAGTTCAGTAAAATAAAGTTTGTGAAAATTGTTATGTTTCACAATGGGCTAATTAAAGTCATTGTCTGGACAGTTTTTATTTACTGGACAGTTTATCTCTACTTGAGCTTTCTATGTTATTGTTTTTAATTTTTGAGCTTAGTTGACTTCTATGCTACTTTCCCATTTATTTTGCTGTGCTCCCACTGGCCTGTCAGAATTGTGGAATTTGGGGGTAGAGCATGGGCACATATATATCTGTACACTTCTGGACTTCCAGACTCTTTAGAACTGGGATGGTTCTTGGCCCATCCCTTTCTTAGGAGGCCCCAGAGTTTTCAGCCAGAAGACCATATACCTGTGACATTCATCAGCTGAAATTCTCTTCTGAGATTAGGCGTGAGTCTGTGAAGCTGGGCCATTTATATGGTGTCTTACACTACTATATATTTATAATAGTACTATAGTATGTATATATATATATATATATATATATATATATATATATATATATCACTGTCACTGTCCTCCCATTATTTATCGATTAGCTCAAGCGGGCCCAGTAACATTGTGAGACTTATTGTTACTGTGGTTTGGCATATCGAATATGTCACGTGTAGCTTGCTAGGCTTTGCTGTGGGGGCGAGATACGCTAGGTAGCTTGCCTGGCTCTCTGAGAGGGGCGGAGGAATCGAACTCTGGTCGGCCTGGTCGGCCGTGTGCAAGGCAAGCACCCTACCCGCTGTGCTGTAATAAATGAATTTTTGAGAACAAATGAGAAGGCCTCACTAGAGAAAATGATATTTTCTTTATAATTTTTTCTTGAAAATATATGTAGATTCCCCCCCATGGTACTAAATTGAATCTAGAACCTCAAACAAGGGTTGTGTTCTACCACTAAGTCACAATCATCATCCCTGGCCCACTGTGTACTCTAATTTTTAATCAGAATTTCCTTAGAACTTATCTTGATCTATGGTATTTTCATTTGTTGAATGAATATTTACTTCCCTTCTGGCCTCGAGCCATCCTTATTCAGATAAAAACAAGGTCTTGGCTCAAGGAAACAGAGATGGGCCACTCCTTCCCATCTCCCTGCCCCTATTGGGTCCCGGCTGTCATGCCCACGAACTGCATCTAGGTGCCGTTTATGCACATTAAGAGCCATGATCCAGAGACTGAAATGAATCTCGGAACCAAGAAGCTCGCTGCAGAGTTTTCTCAAGACCCCAAATCTTTAAAATTTTAGAATTCCAGGAGCGCATTGGCCATGAAAGTGGCCACTCAACATCTCATGCTATTCATAACAAGCAATAAAAAATAAATTTTCTAGCATCTACCTGTGGGGCAGGCTTGAGTGGTGGTGGGACAATTCAAAATAATGGTGGTGGGAAGGTGTAAGGGTGTTGGGATTGGTTCAAAATATTGAATGTAATCAATTTTTGTGAACAACTTTATGAAAATAAAATTAAAAAAAAAACAAGGCCTTGGCCTTCACATCTCTCATTGTCAGAAGAAAGGTGAGGAAAGCAAAGTTGTAAGTTAGAGTCAGGTCATGCTACAGCACTGTGTATAAAATAGTTTCCAATTGCATAGAAAATCCCGGAATCTGGAAAAAACCCGAGTGTCCGAGAACAGATGATTGGTTAAAGTAACCTTGGTACATCTACACAATGGAATACTATGGAGCTATTAGAAAAGATGAAGTCATGAAATTTTCATATAAGTAAATGAACATGGAGAGTATCCTGCTAAGTGAAATAAATGAGTCAGAAAGAGAGGGACTCACTTAGAAGGACTGCACTCATTTGTGGAATATAAAATAAAAGAATAGGAGACTAACAACCAAGGATAGTAGAGATAAGGACCAGGAGGATTGCTCCATGACTTGGAAGCCCACCTCACGTGCAGCGGGGGAAAAAGGTAGCTCAGATAGAGAAGGAACCATCAAGTCAAGGATGCTTGCAGGGCCTGCTCAGGATGGGAGATGTGTGCTGAAAGTAGACTACAGACCGAATATGGTGGTCACTTAATGCCTTGAAAACCACAACACCCAAAGAAAGAGAGAGAGTAAAAGGAAATGCGCATGCCACAGAGGTGGAGGTGGGTAGAGTGAGGATGGTGGGATGAATAGTAGGAACGTTGGTGGTGGAGAATGGGCACTGGTGGAGAGATGTGTATTCGATCGTTGTATGACTGAAACATAAGGACAACATTTTTTAAGTCTGTAACTGTACCTCACGGTGATTCATTAAAAAATTAAAAAATTAAAATAAAAAACAAGAAAACCTCTTTAGAATGCTTTCCTGAATACCATCCACTCAATACTAGTAATCTGATTAAGCCATAATACAACTTTTGTTTAGTAAAAGTGTAATAAAGTCATGTGAAACATAATGTTCATTTGGAGCTTCCTGTTTTTAATTAAAGGAAGCATTCGAGACTAGATATTTGTTAGTATTGATTTCATGCCAACTTCTAACCCCATCTCACCTGCAAAATATAACGAATTTGCTGTTTTGTGAACTCTGACAATCCTTTAGGAATCAGTGATTCAATGTCTTCTGACTGTAAAATAAAGAGAATTATCAATTGAGTAGGTACACATTAATATTTTAAGTTTTATATTAATAGATTTATTTTTTAACTAAAAGGTAATTTTAATAGTTGCTACAAACTTCTATGTTTCTTAGAAAAAAATTATAGGTTTATTTAGTTGCTACAAACTTTCTAGGTTTATTAGATTTAATTTAAAATTGTTATACTATATACACCATGGAATTTTAGACATAAAATTTTAGACATAATACTACATAAATCAGGAATTTTAGACAAAACTTTGTGCAACCAAACAGATGTTAAATTTTATTTTAAAGAGCAAATTAAAAACCAAAATAATAGTATCTTAAATATCATTAAATGCTAAATTTCAGTCCATCTTTCAACAACTAAAATTTTGTTGGATTGTAGATAGAAACATTTTATTTAAGGGGATATGTTGCCACCAGCACGTCAGTCTGTACCTGTGAGGCGAGTGCATCAGCAGCCTGATGGCACCGTCAGAGTTGCAGATACCCCAAAATTACTGCTGTGCCTTTGGCCAGACCCCTAAATCTTGGGGCAAAGTTTACCAAGAAAGTAAACGGCCAAAAGTTATGTATGTGGGAGACACACTCACAAGCCACTTCCGGCCCAGCTATATAATTGGAAGCATGGCATCTCTGGTTCCTGATCGAACTGCTTAATGGCCATGATCCCAGAGACTCAGAAAGGAATCTAGGAACCGAAAGGCTTTTGGCAGAAATGTGTCCTGTTCCTGCAGTAGGTTACTGGAACTGGGTCACTCCAGGTGGGAATAGGTTTCGTGCCTTAGCCTGTTCCCCTTGGCGGCCTGGTGACCGCCGTCCTCCAGAGGCCACTAGACAGTCAGATTTGGGCCTGCAGTGATGAGACACGCGGGGCCTCACCAGATGGGGGTGGAACCGGCCCTTTCCTCCCCATCCCAACGAGACCCCGAGTTGCCGCCTACAAATGGCCTCTCTGGCTCCTGATCAAGCTGCTTAACGGCCATGATCCCAGAGACTCAGAAACAAATCTCGAAACCCAGCGGCTTTTGGCAGAAATGAATTTGGACCACATACAAGGTGGCTGCCTCCTCAGAGCTTATTGGAAAGCCATTTATGGCCGGCGGTGACGGGGCAACTGCAGTCTCATGGGAAGTGCGGTGGTACCGGCTCATCCTTCATGCCCTACTAAGGTCACGAGTTGCCCTTCACGAGCGCCTCTCCGGGACGGCCATGGCTCCAGAGGCAAAAGAACTTAATCTAGAGCCCGGCAACTTGCAGCAGAAAAGTGAACGGACCATTCATTAAACTACAGTGTCACGCTTTTCCGGAGGGAAAGGGTGTTGCTCCCTTCCGCCTCCCCCCCGCCCCACGGCAGCAAGGTGACCACCACCTCAGAGCTTATTGGAAAGCCAGGTATGAGGCAGCGGTGACCGGGCAACTGCAGTCTCATGGGAAGGGAGGTGGTACTGTCTCGTCCTTCACGCCCTACCGAGGTCACGAGTTGCCACCCATGAGCGGCTCTCCAGCACAGCCATAACACCAGACGTACAGAAACCAATCTCTTAATTATCTGGCTCTTTGCAGTAATCTAAAATCATTATATGATTCTCATAACCAACTATAGAAAACAAAGTATTTCACAATGCCTTTTCAGCAATTCTGATTGTTGGGGGGGGATTCTGAACAATGGTGGTGCATCTTTTGTCAAAATAATTAATGTAATCAATATAGAGAAGAGTTAAGTAGAAATCATCTGCCTCACAGGCATTGGGAGGGGTGGGAGGGGGGTATATTGGGGTTCTTGGTGGTTAAAAAATGAGTACTGGTGAAGGGAAAGGTGTTTGATCATTATATGACTGAGACTTAAACCTGAAAGCTTTGTAACTTTTCCCACAGTTATTCAATAGATAAATATAAGAAGAAAAAAATAAATAAAATTATGAAAAAAAAGTAAGTGGAGTTCATGCCCAATTCAATCAGCTAATCAGTGGCTGAATAAATAGCAGTACTCCTACATTAAAAAAAAAACATTTTCTTTCTTTCTTTCTTTCTTTCTTTCTTTCTTTCTTTCTTTCTTTCTTTCTTTCTTTCTCTGTGCTGCTCTGCTCATGACATGTCTACCTTCTCTTCCATCCTGTTCTGATTAACCAAGAATCCACTGAAACATTTCTCCAGTGCTACTTAGCTGGTGTGTGAATAAGCCATTGAGAGTGTCTAAAGAAGCCTTATAAAATAAAAATGGCCTTGGAAGATAAAGTCACATTTCTTTCTATTGGATTTTTAAAAATTGAATCACAGTGTGATACACAGCTACAAAGTTGTTCATGATTGGGTTTCAGTCTACAATTTTCCAACACCTGTCCCTTCATCAGCACATATTTCCCACTACCAATGCCCCCAGTTTCCTTCCCATCCCCCACCCCCACCGCCTGCCTCTAAGGCAGGCACTTTTATCCCCCCCTCTAAAATATGACATTTTATGAGATGATCTTTAAAATAAGAATCTGGGAAAATAAAACTAGTGGTTTATTTATAATTTATATAGAACTTTGGTAACTTTTGAAATATAATACTGCTACAGCAAAAGAGTAGCTTCAACTAATTTTAAGTGAGATGTTTAAATCAGTACTTTTTTGGGATGGGTCTTTGGGTCACACCTGGTGGTGTTCAGGGGTTACTCCTGGCGCTGAGTTCTGAAATTACTCCTAGAGGCGCAAGGGGGACCGTATAGGATGACAGGGCACAAATCAGAGTTAGGTGTGTGCAAGGCCAGCACCTTACCCTCTCCATTCTCTCTGGCCTCTGAGGTGAGTACTTCTAAAAGAAAATTTCAGATTCACTGAACTATTTTAATAAATATAGTGTATAAATACATTGAAAATTGTTGTTAATACAAAAGAGGCACCACAGAGAAATTACAAAGGCAAAGTCACTTGTCCTGCATATGACAGACAAGCATGAGGCAAACAAGTATGATCTTCAGCACTGCATATGGTCCTTGGAATCCTCCAGCAGTGACCCCTGAGCACAGAGCCAGGATAAAGCTCTGAGCACTGCCCCCAACCTCTCAAAATAAAAGGTAACACAAAAGAGGTATACTTGTTTATTGCTCTAAGTTATTTCTTATTTGATGATATATTTTGTTAAGTGTTAATGTCAAAATATGCATCTATAAAAGAACACTTGAAAATTTTAATAAATTACTTAAAGTTGCTGGCTGTATCTCATGGAATATACAAGGTTTTTGAAAATATCAAAATAAATTTAATAGACAGGTATACACAAAAACCACCATTAGCAATATTGCGAACCACACAAAAACCACCATTAGCAATATTGCGAACCATAGTGCCTCAATAACGAAGAGAGAACAAGTGAGAAATTGCAAGACCTCTGGAAAAGTGTAAAATTAAATAAATTTTTCACTTATTTATTTTATATATAGTTCAGTTTTCCAAATCAGTGTATGTATGTGGTAAATGAAAGTTTAAATTTTCTGAAAGCAATTTTTTAAAAAAAAAATTGTTGAATCACTGTGAGAGTTGCAAACTTTCATGTTTGGGTTACAATCACACAATGATCAAACACCCATCCCTCCACCAGTGCACATTCCCCACCACCAATATACCTAGTATACCCCCCCTTTCCCACCCTCCCCTTGCCTCCATGACAGCCAATATTCCCCATACTCTCTCTCTACTTTGGGGCATTATGGTTATCAATACAGACACTGAGAGGTCATCATGTTTGGTCCATTATCTACTTTAAGCACACATCTCCCATCCCGACCAATTCCTCCAGTCATCATTTTCTTAGTGATCCCTTCTCTATTCCAGCTGCCTTCTCCCTTCCACTCATGAGACAGGCTTCCAGTTATGGAGCAATCCTCCTGGCCCTTGTATCTACTGTCCCTGGGTGTCAGCCTCATGTTATGTTACTCTATACCCACAAATGAGTGCAATCTTTCTATGGCTGTCCATCTCTTTCTGATTCATTTCACTTAACATGATACTCTCCATGTCTATCCATTTATAAGCAAATTTCATGACTTCATCTCTCCTTACAGCTGCACAATATTCCATTGTGTAGATGTACTAAAGTTTCTTTAACCAGTCATCTGTTCTAGGGCACTTGGTTTGTTTCCAGATTTTGGCTATTGTGAACAGTGCTGCAATGAACATATAGGTACAGATGTCATTTCTACCGGAAAGCAAAACTTTTAAATAATAAAATGACATAAGTTTTTGTGTAAATGAGTATTTGTTTTGCAGACATTAAAAGATACTAAATGATTATATCATTGTAAATACACATAGATCATTTCTTTCACTAGTCAAATGTAATAATCTACTTGTTATTCAAACAATTAAATTTTCAGTGGTTTTAGTTCTTACCTCATCTGTAGATTCAAAGTCCTGTTTACTGCATAAATGAAAAAGTATCATCAATGTTAGAATGCATGAATTGAAAATGTATATGTTGCCATACAAATGTATATATTACATAAGAATGCTAGTATTCTAATTATTTTATCTTATTTTTATACATAGTAATAGCAACAATTTATAATCCAAATTAACAATTCAAAACTAATATGGTGTTTGACAAAAGACAGTTCATAAACAATATGCAAATGATAAAAGATACATAATTAAGAAAACTAGTGTATTACACGTGTTGTTAGTATCATCCATTAGCACTAGTCCTCTTGTGGATAGATGTAGAAGTTCCCCATGTGTATCAATAAACGTTATCTGATGAAGAAAGAAAGAAAGAAAGAAAGAAAGAAAGAAAGAAAGAAAGGGAAGAAAGAAAGAAAGAAAGAAAGAAAGAGAAAGAAAGGGAAGAAAGAAAGAAAGAAAGAAAGAAAGAAAGAAAGAAAGAAAGAAAACAATGAATTGCTTAAACATTTTAAAGATCAGTTTTATGCCCATGGTTCTTTTTTTTCCTGTACATGGATTACAGCATGATACAGTATTATTTGTGGTCTGCACCACTTGTGGTCGAAAATGCTCTATAGCTGATATAATATTAATGCATAGCTTTCCTGGCTTCTGTCACAGGGTTAACAATAATGTCTTCTGAGATTATGTGACATTACAGTATGACTGACTTTGACAGTGACTGTACATTTTAGTTATATGATATTTTCAATAGCTTTTCCATAAGCTGATCTTTGTAGCTACTGGAGGACTGGCCTGATTTTATTTTTGATCTAATTACTGTATTTCTAATTCATTAATGTTGATTAATGTTTTCAATTACTTCTGAGTTCAATCTTGAAGGGGTGTATTTTATTAAAATTTTATTCATTTCTTCAAGATTATCAAATTAATTGGCATACAGTTATTCATAATAGTCTCTTATTATCCTTTGTATTTCTGTTACCTGTTGTGATTACTTCTCTTTAATTATTTATTGACTTGAGTTTTATCTTTTTACTAGAGTATCTCACCCGCACGGCAGAGCCTGGCAAGCTCCCCGTGACATATTCGATATGCCAAACACAGTAAAAACAAAGTCTCCAATGGAGACGTTACTGGGCCCGCTCAAGCAAATTGATGATCACCGGGAGGGCTTTTACTTTTTTGCTTTACTTTTTCATCTTATTCTGGTGTTTACTAATCTAACTTGTTCATGGTTTTAAAAAATACAGGTCTTAGTTTCATTGATTTTTTGTATCTCATTTATTTTTACATTATGATTATTCATTCCTTTATTAAATTTTGCATTTGTTTTATTGTTCTTTTTCCAAATGATTTAGTTACATAATTAAATTTTTATTTATTATTTTTCTTGCTCCATAAAAAGTGACAATATAAAATTCCTTCTCAATACAACTTTTGTGTTCCTTATAGTTCCTGATAACTATTTAAATTTTCTTTTGTTTTACTTTTATTTTTATTTTGCTTTTTGGGTCACACTCAGCAATGCACAGGGGTTACTCCTGGCTCTGCGCTCAGGAATTACCCCTGGCGGTGCTCAGGGAACCATATGGGATGCTGGGAATCGAACCTGGGTTGGCCACGTGCAAGGCAAACGCCCTACCTGCTTTATTATTACTCCAGTCCCTTCTTTTGTTTTAAAGTGTTTTTAATTTCTTGTTTCGTTTCTTTATTGACCAAGTAGCTGTTGAAAACCATCATGTTTAGAGAATATGAATTTGAAGTATTTTTGGTTTTCTTTCTGTGGATAATTTTTATTTTCATAATATGATCAGAAACAAAACTTTGACAAACTTTTATAAGCATTCTCAATTCTGGAGTGTTTATTAATAAAGTCATTAGTTTCCTTTTGGGACTAGAGCGATAGCACAGTGGGTAGGGTGTTTGCCTTGCAAGCGGCCAACATGGCCGACCCGAGTTCGATTCCTCAGCCCCTCTCGGAGAGCCCGGCAAGCTCCCGAGAGTATCTCACCTGTACAGCAAAGCCTGGCAAGCTACCCGTGATGTACTCGATATACCAAACACAGTAACAAGTCTCATGATGGAGACGTTACTGGGCCCACTCGAGCAAATCGATGAACAACGGGAGGACCATGACCGTGCATTAAAAAGTTTCCTTTTAATTTATTTATATTTTTGCATTTTCGATACTCTTGGAATTAAATTTAATACTTTGCAATTTTTAGAGATGTTTATGTGATATTTTGATGACCTTTGTGGAGTATATTATCTCTTAAATGGAGACATTTACTCAGATTTACTTGTGCTTCATGTTTCCCCACTAAAAGTATTAGAATTTTGCTTAGAACTTAAAACAGCTATTCAGAATAAATCAACTAGAAATAATAGAGAGATGGGGTTGGAAAAACAACAAAGAAGGTGTGGTGCATGCCTTTATATGTGGCATACACATGTGCCTTACATGTGCCTTATATGTGACACTGGTTCATTCTTAAAACTGTATATGGTCCCTCCAGTACTGTCAGAAGTAAAGTTATTATCTCTGAGTACCAGCATGTGTGGCCTAAATCACACTCCCTAGATACTGGAGTATAGAGGGACTGAGGATGGATCAGTGGAAAAAGCAGAAGTCTTGCAAGTGTGAAGCTGCAAGTTTGATCGCCCCACATATGAAGTGGTTCCAGGAGCTCTGCTGTTCGGTACTCCAAGTACCATAACAAAGTACGTGACCTCTTGGATGTATTTCAGCCAATTGTGTGTGATTTGGTTTAAAAGTGGGATACCCAGTGAGCATATACTAAAGAATATAATCACTGTGGAGCACATGTGCAAACATCTCTACCAAAAGTGTGTGATACCATCTGAGCACCATAAGTGAGTGTGTATACACTAAAGCTTGTTTGTGTATATATATTGAGCACACTGTTCATTATATCTACAACAGCGGTAAGAGGGCAGAGGGAAAGAGAATTTTAAAATATTATAAGATATTGATAGTGACATAAAAATTATGTATTTACAATACCTTCCTCCAATTTTCTGCAAATGTTCTAATAAGCAGTGGTATAGATCTGTATTTTTGCGACTTAGATCAGCAAGCAACTCTCCAAAATATTTGGGGTCCAATTTTTCAGGGCCATCGTCCTGAATTATCACCTGTAGAAAAATATTTATATCAATTTTAAGTGTTTCTAGTTCACAGATGTATTTATGTCAAACTTTTAAAAAGCAAAATAAAAAAATAAAAAGTGAAATAACAATAAAGTTAATTACAAACTGCCACATTTTTTTTAATTTGGAGTATATATTTTTCAATTTGAAAGGAATTTAAATGAATGGCCAAACCACCACAACATTTTGAATTTCATTTCACTTGTGTCTATATATAATAAAGGCAAACAGGTAATTTACATAAATTTTTTGAATGCAGATGCTAAATATAAGTAAAATCAGTAGATCAATACTGAATTATTCATTATTACCATATGGCTTTCTTTATTTTTTCTGTAGAAAAACTAAATTATTTGAATTGTACTAACTATAGAATTACTTTCATTTGAAGTTGCATCTTCTTTTGAAGGTCAGCTTGACTTAATATATTTTAAAGTTAAGTTTCTCAAGTCAAGGATTTTCTGTTTCTTATTGGAGTCACTTCATTGTTTTATTTTGGTTCAAGTGCCTAGTTAGTCTGACATGAGATGTGTGCCAAGTAGAGAAAATATGTAGTCTTCAGAGACATTTGAAATCCTAAAGACAAAATACTATAAGAAGGGTCTAAATGAAGATTTGTTCTATTACTTTCATATCTTGATATTAATCTTTTAATATTACTGAACACTTTTTTTCCATTCCTCAATCATATCTGAGTTTTAATACTTGAGTTGCATTCCATGAGCTGGAGTGATAGCACAGCAGGTAGGGCGTTGGCCTTGCACGCGGCTGACAAGGCTGACCTGAGTTCAATTCCTTCACCCCTCTCGGAGAGCCCGGCAAGCTACCAAGAGTATCTCGCCCGCATGGCAAAGCCTGGCAAGCTACTCATGACATATTTGATATACCAAACACAGTAACAACAAAGTCTCACAATGGAGACGTTACTGGGCTGTTCTGCTTTTGTTCCAGTACCATGCTGTTTAAATTAGTATTGATTTGTAGTAGAGTTTGAAGTTAGGGAGGTTGATTCCTCCCATTTTCTTTTTCGAAGAATTGCTTTAGATATTCGTGGGGGCTTATTGTTACATATGAATTTCAGGAGTGTTTGCTCCATTTATTTGAAGAATGTCATGGGTATCATTATAGGGATCGTATTGAATTTGTACAATGCTTTGGGAAGTATTGTCATTTTGACAATGTTAATTCTCTCGATCCATGAGCAGGGGATATCTTTCCATTTTCTCGTGTCCTATTTTATTTCCTGAAGTAGTGTGTTGTAGTTTTCTTTGTACAGGTTCTTTACTTCCTTAGTCAAGCTGATTCCTAGGTACTTGATTTTTCTGGGGCACAATTGTGAATGGGATTGGTTTTTTTTCATGTCACTTTCTTCTCTCTCACTATTTACATATAGGAAAGCCATGGACTTTTGGGCATTGATTTTATAGCCTGCAACTTTACTATACAAGTCTATTGTTTCTAGGAATTACTTGGTAGAGGTTTTAGGGTTCTATATGTATAGTATCATATCATCTGCGAATAGTGAGAGCTTGATTTCTGGCCCACATCCAGAAGAACAAAAGCAACCAGTGTTGGCGCGGATGTGGCGAGAAAGGGACCCTCCTCCACTGCTGGTGGGAATGCCGACTGGTTCAGCCCTTTTGGAAAACAGTATGGACAATTCTCAATACATTAGAAATTGACTCCCATTTGACCCAGCAATACCAGTCCTGGAAATATATCCCAGAGAGGCAAAAAAGTGTAGTCAAAGTGACATCTGCACTTGTTTGTTATTTGCAGCACTGTTTACAATAGCTAGAATCTGGGAAAAAACCTGAGTGCCTGAGAAGAGATGACTGGTTAAAGAAACTTTGGTACATCTACACAATGGAGTACTATGTAGCTGTTAGAAAAGATGAAGTCATGAAATTTACATACAGTGGTACTACATGGAAAGTATCATGCTAATAAGTGAAATGAGTCAGAAAAAGAGGGACAGACATAGAAAGATTGCATTCATCTGGGGAACATAAAGTAACAAAATAGGAGACTAACACCTAAGAATAGCCGAGATAAGTACCAGGAGGTTCACTCCGTGGCTTGGAGGCCAGCCACAATAGCCAGGGGAAAAGGCAGCTATGATAGAGAAAGGAGCACCAAATAAAGGGTGTTGGGAGGATCCTCCCAGGATGGGAGATGCATGCTGAAAGTAGACTATAGACCGGACATGATTGCCACTCAATGCCTCTTTTGCCAACCACAGAACCCAAAAGGAGAGGGAGAACAAAAGGAATACCCTGCCACAGAGGCATGGTGGGATGGCGAAGGGGAGGAAGGGGGTGCGAGGGATACTGGGATCAGTGGTGGTGGAAAATGGGCACTGGTGAAGGGATGGGTACTCGAACATTATATAATTGAAACCCAAGCATAAAAATTTGTAAGTTCTATAACTGTACCTTATGGTGTTTCACTAATAATAATAATAATAATAAAAACATTGTGTTCTCTTATTAAGTTATTCTAACCAGCACATATAAGTGATAAATCCTGTGTTTATACTTTTTTTCTGGCTTACTTCATTTAAAGTAATGGGGCGTCAGGAACGAGGCTGTTTCTCATAAACATTGTCTTCATAAGATTCAGCTGTAGTCCTACCTTTCCACACCCCATTCGCTCTCAACGGAACGACCATCTCTGAATGCAACAGTTATGTGTACCTAGGTCGAGAAGTCAACATGACAAATGACCTGGCACCTGAGCTGCGCAGGAGGAAGAGAGCGGCTTGGAACGCCTTCAAGAGCATCGAAGAAATAGCTAAGAGAATGAAGAACCTCCGGCTCCGGGCACATCTCTTTGATTCCACTGTTCTTCCTGCATTAACATATGCCTCAGAGACCTGGGCCCTACGCAAACAGGATGAGAACGCTATTCAGGTCTCCCAAAGAAGAATTGAAAGAGCTATGCTTGGAATATCACGTTTCACTCAAATGAGAGAAAGAATCCGGACTTCCAACATCCATCAACGATCAAGAATTAGGGATGCTGTCTCGTTTGCCAAGGTGTCAAAAATCAGATGGGCTGGTCATGTCATGAGTTTTAAAGACGACCGCTGGACTAGAGCTGTTACCGACTGGATTCCACAGGATGTCAAAAGACCGCGTGGCTGCCCACCTACCAGATGGTCAGAATTCTTCATCAAGATCATGAATGATCGGTTTGAGGCTCTTCATGTTCCTAGAGCGAACAGACGCCATTGGGCTACACTAGCATGCGACAGGGACAAATGGAGACGTTACTGGCGCCCGCTCAAGCAAATTGATGACTAATGGGAAGTTAAGTGATTAAGTGATTAAGTGACTTCATTTAAAGTATCTTCTAGTTCCATCCATGTTGCTGCAAATTGCATGATTCCATCTTTCCTTACAGCTATGTATTTCATTGTGTGTGTGTATATATATATATATATATTTATATTTATATATCACATCCTCACGATCCACTTATATCTCCTTGCATATCTAGGATATCTAGGTTGATTTCAAATCTTAGCTATTATACTGAGTGCTGCAATGAGTAGTGGTGTGCATATGTCCTTTTGAATGAAAGGTTTTCTGCTCTGGGGTTAGAGAGTCCAAATTTGAATTACTAGGACATCAATTCTGACTTTACTGAGAACCCTCAATACTGTTTTCCATAGTGGTTGGAGCGGACAACATTCTTATCAGTAGTGGAAAGGGTTCCTTTTTCACCAAATCCCTGCCAACATATTGTTGCCATTATTTTTCATCTGTGCCATTATCAATGGTGTAATGTCGTATCTTATTATCTTGAATTGAATTTCCATAATAATAAGTGATGATCAACATTTTCCATATGCCTGTTGTTCTTTCTCAGGAAAGTATCTGTTCATTTTCTCTCTCCATTTTTATGAGTTCTACTGATTGTTTTTTTTTTATTGATCTTTGTGAGTACTTATATATCCTGGATATCAGCTATCTTTCTGAAATGTTGAGTGCAAATATTTTTCCCACTCAGCTGTCATTTAGTTTTAGCCCATGTTTCTTTTGCCAAAGAATTTTCTTACAAGCTTGGTTTTTAAAGGAGCCAACCAAGAATGGTTAAGTAAGCCAAAAAGAGTATAACCAGTCTTTCCTCAAGTTCATTGTAATAATCACTAGCACATTCTTTCCAAATTATGATCAGTAATTTAAACAACTAAACTGAAGTTGTGGAGTTAGATATTGACAGTTGAGTTTTTCCTGGATTTTTGGAGATTGGCAGTAAACTCCCTCTCAATAACTGTCACTGTCACAGTCCTCTCGTTGTTCATCGATTTGCTCGAGCGGGCCCAGTAACGTCTCCATTGTGAGACTTTGTTGTTACTGTATTTAGCATATCGAATACGCCACAGGTAGCTTGCCAGGCTTTGCCGTGCGGGCGCGATGCTCTCGGTAGCTTGCCAGGCTCTCCAGAGGGGTGGAGGAATCGAACTCGGGTCGGCTATGTTGGCTGCGTGCAAAGCAATCGCCCTACCCACTGTGCTATTGCTCCAGCCCCCCTCTCAATAAATGAAATAAAATAAAAGAAGTCTTTATTAATATTTATCATGAATATATCTGATTTTACTGCTCATGCCCTATTGCTCTTGTGGGGTATCTATATATTCACCAACCTGGAAGATATATAAAATCACAAGATCAAATATGATTTTAAAAATCAAAATAACTCATTAAGAGAAAAAAATCTATCATGTCAACATCATTCCATATACCTTCAAGAAATTTCACTGTTGTAGCTGGCTACATTTACCTTCCTATGTGTAACTATAATATAACTTTCCCAAGTGAAAGGGCTCATTATTTAGCAAAATATGCCCAAATATTAAGTTTCCATATTAGAATCACTGAACAACCAAATTGATATGCTTATATTTTTCATATTCTCTTAGCTTATTATAGTAACCTCATAATTCTGTGAAAATCATATTTTTGTCTTTGATTAATTCG